AGCTTGTCCGCAGGACAAGTCGCGGAGAAACGCCTGAGATCCCCAGACCCGGAACGCCGACGCATCGCCAACCTTCTCCGTCCACAGCAAGGTTGGGAGGTCTCCGACCTGGAGACCCTGGGGTGAAGGTTGATCTGATGCGCCGCGTACCTCACCGCAAACGGCCACGAAAAAAGGGGGGCAGCCGCATGCATCATGGACCGTACGAGCGACGTCCATGACCATGCCAATGCGGCGCTCAGCGATCCCATTTTGCTGCGGAGAGTCCGTAAGCGTGAAGGTCTGACGGATGCCTCGTGCGCGACAGTAGGCTCTTAGAAGGCCAGAGGAAAACTCTCCGCCTCTGTCCGAGTGCAGATGCAGAACAGGAAAGTCTGAGCCAAAGCTCTGCCGGAGCTGGAGACGAGCTGCGCGGATCCAATCGATCAGCACCTCAGTGACATCACCCTTTCTGCGCAAGGGGAAGACTGCAGTGTAACGCGAGTAGTCGTCAACAACGAGCAGGAAGTAGCGCTCGTGACCCTGTCCACAGACGCGGGCTGGGCCCCACACGTTCATGTGAAGTGTCTGCAACGGGGCCTCTGTCGGAGGAAACTGGGAGGAGTGAGGGGCAGCCCGCTGGCGCACCTCGACACAGGGGACAAAGGTAGGGCCAGGGCCCTGAGGAAGGGGAGGGAGGGACCGGGGGAGAACAGAAACAAGAAGACGGAAGGCCATGCCTCTGAGCCGAAGCAGAGAGGGGTGACCAAGGCGGTGGTGCTAGAGGAGAGTCTCGTGAGACAGGAGACGACACGAACAGGGGGCAGACTCAGGACCAGACCTGGACGCTGCAGCAAACACCTGACCCAACGCAGCTACCCTACCAGACTCAGCAACTGGAGGAGACGCAGTGGTTAGTGTATACAGGCTCGACCCCGGCTGACGAGTAAACGTAGCCAGGTGTCGGCCTGTGCTAGCCCTTGTGCAGTGCGTCACCCGCTGACGCGCAGGAGTGAACTGGTGGACTCCCCCATCCTGTAGGTGAGCACCACTCACCAGGTTCGAAGAGAACGAGGGGAGGTAGAGACCAGACAGGGTGCAAGAGGGAGCCGCCGAACACGGGAGAACTGTGGAGAAGTGAGACAGTACAGGACCCCCAGAGGGGCCAGCTAGAGACAGCGCAACCGGCCGACTAAGCGGCGTGAGTGTGGTGCGGGTCCCGAAGGAGCGAGAAGCCCCAAAGTCAAGGATGAAGGTGAGGGAGGCCGAAGCCGACGTAGTACCTCAGAGCGCAGACTCACCAGTACCTGAGGACGCAGATACACTAGCACCTAGAGCAGGAGTGTCGCAAGCACCTAGGGCAGCCGCCTCACCAGTACCTAGAGCAGTAGTCTCAATGCCCGGATTCGGGCGGGAAACACCGGTAACAGTCACCCTCATCACTAATAGACACAGCAAACATGGCAGAAAGAATAGCATCAAAGTTAAGATCATAGATGGCAACACCCGCCCTAAGACAGCTCGCCCCAGCGAGGGATCTGTGTGGCCTCCGGGAACTGGTGACGCCACGCTTCCGTCAGGCGGCCAAGCAGCGCTGGGTTGGGGTGCGCACCCCCACACTGCTCACCCACAGCGGTCGCCGAGGTGCGCAGGACGTAGGTGCACGGACCAAAACCCCCACCCCGCTGGCGTGCAGTGTACCACTCACGGAGCTGCTGAGGGGACAGGGTCTCACGACCGCGCTGCTGCTGCTGGCGCGGACCACCACCGGAGCCACTCCTTTTGCGTAGACCCACGACCAGCTCCACCGCCACCCCCACGCCTCCTGCCGCCTCCACTACTTACCGCCGCCTCCGCCGCCTCCTCCACTGCCGCCACCTCCGCCACCTCCGCCTCCCACCGCCACCGCCGCCGCCGCCTCCGCCCTCTACTGCCGCCACCGACACCTCCACCCCCACCTCCACTCCCACCGCCACCCCCACTCCCCCCCGTCGCCTCCACCTCCACCTCCACCGCCCTCGCTCGTGCCTCCAGTGCCCCTAATCCCCTTGCCCTTGCCAGAGCGGCGTCTCCCGCTAGGGGGGAGACGCCACAACCGACCGACTCAAGACCAAGGAGGTCGGCCGCAGCAGCAGAAGCAACAGAGGGTATAAGGGGGGAGGGGGAACACCCCTCAAAGATGGGGGTGCGCGGGTCACCACGAGAGGCCCCTACAGTGACTATGCTCTTCTCGCCCGCTAGGAGGGACTTCTCGAGGAGGTCAATAGTGAGAGTGGTGGAACACACTGAGAGGAAGTGGTCCTTGACTACGCGAAGGGAGTCAGGGAGGCGAGTGACTATGTAGTAGAGAGTGATGTACATGGGGGGGGGGTTCTTGGCGCAGAAGTCAGCAGGAAGCGCAGCGTGGTAGCGAGTGTCACTAGTGCTGAGGTGTGTTATGAGGTCAGCGACTGTGGGAAAGGCAGCAAGGTCAGGGAAGAGGTACGGTAGCATGAGACGGCTCAGTGCAGCAGTGGCAGGGGAGGAGTAGCGCGCAACTACAAAGCGTCATACAAGGTCTGAGCACTCTTGTACTGACTAAAGTGCGCACGGCTCGGAGGTAGGGAGGTGGCGGCGGACAGCAAGACGTGCAGCAGCGTCGTGCGTGGCCCACTGGGAGCGAACAGTGGCGTCGGCATCAGCAGAAGGGGCAGGAGAGGCGCCAGAGGTGAGGTCAAAGAGTGAGAGACCGTCTGCCCTATCGCACTGTAAAAAACAGCTGCAGGTCATCTACCCAGACGTCAAAGTCAATGCTCGGCCCTCAGCGTCAAAAGCGAGGACACTAGGGGTAGCCATGACCACAGTAGACTAGCAGTGCAACAGTAGGGTGAGGGCAGTGCAGTGAAAGAGGCACTGTGCTCACCGGACGGGGCTGCTCGGGCGGCTCGAAGGTAGGGCGGATCGGCGGCTCGGCGGCTCGGCTGCACGGCGGCTCGGCTGCAGGGCGGCTCGGTTGCTGGGCGGCTCGGCTGCAGGGCAGCTCGGCTGCTCGGTTGCTGGGCGGCTCGGCTGCTTGGCTGCTGGGCGGCTCGGCTGCTCGGCTGCTCAGCTGCTGGGCGGCTCGGCCGTGCTGCTGCAGGGCGGCTCGGCGGTCGGCTGCTCGGCAAGTGAGGCGCCCGGGCGGCTCAGGTGGCGGGCGGCTGCAGCATGTGACGGGGCCGCAGGAAGCGGGTGGGCCGCAGGTAGGGCGGCGAGGCCGCAGTTGTGGGCGGTGGGGACCGCAGTGAGGGCGGCGAGGCCGCAGGTAAGGGCGGGGAGCCGCAGTTGAGGGCGGTGGGGACTGCAGTGAAGGGCTGTGGGCCGCAGGTAAGGGCAGCGGGACCGCAGGTAGGGCGGTGGGGCCGCAGTAAGGGCGGCGAGGCCGCAGGGCGGCGCGCAGGGGTCGACGGGTGGCGTAAGGCGCGGGTGGCGCGCGCGCGGCGGTGGGGGGTGGGGGTGTGGGAAGGGGGGTGGGGGGGGTGGGGGTGGAGGTGGAGGGGGGGGGGGGTGGGGTGGGGTGGGGGGGGTCTTAGGGCTGGTTGACGGGCGGGGGAGGGTTGGGGCGCTAGCGGCGCGCGGGTCGACGGGCGGCGCAGGGTGCCGCTAGGGCGGCGCGCGGGGTCGACGGGCGACGCAGGGGGCTGCTTAGGGCGGTGCGCTGGGGTCGACGGCTTGGCGCAAGGAGCCGCCAAAGGCGGCGCGCGGGGTCGACGGGGTGGCGCAAGGAGGGGCCGCTAGGGTAGCGCGTGGGGTCCGATGGGCACACGGGGCGCGCGCGGACTCGGTCTAGTCTGAGGCACGCTCTGGGCAGGAAAAAAAAAATTGTGGTGGGCCCTAGGTAGCGTTCCTACTAGGGGAACCTGCTCTGAAACCATGAGAAGAAGAACGAGAATGAATCAACTATGAATGAAGTGGGTACAAGTACTAACCCTAATTGGGTTATACCCCCTATGGGATACCCCACTACAGCCTACACAAAAGCATAAGCTATAATGTTCTGACATAAGTGCCGCGCTTATGGCCGATACTCAATAAAAGCGCCACCACCAAAAAACGGATTTTATTATAAGCGCGTATGCGCTACTATCCGGGTAATACGGTACAAATTGTCAGATTTATATGACATAGCTACTGTAGGCTATAGTGGGGTAGCACATATGGGGTACAGCTTTCTAGGGTTCATACTTGTACCCAACTTTCACTTAGTCATTCCATTCTTGTTTCAGTTTTCTCATGGTATCGAGCAGGTTCCCTCGTGGGAACCGTTCCTAGGGCCCACCGATTCGATCTTTTTTTTTTTCCTGCCCGGAGTGTGATCAGCCCTTGCCCGAGTCGCGCTCTCCCTTAGCGGCTGTATCGCGCCACCCTTGACGGCCCCGATCCGCCACCCTAGCGGCCTCGTCGCCTACCCCGCGGCCCTCGCGCCGTCCCTCCCAGCCCCGATTCGCCGCCTTGCGGCCCCGTCGCCTACCTCGCGGCCCTCGCGCCGCCTTTCCCGGCCCCGATCCGCCGCCCTGCGGCCCCGTCGCCTACCCCCCGGCCCTGACTCCACCCTTCCCGACCCGGCCCCGCCCTTGCTGGCCCCGTCGTCTACCTGCAGCCCCGTCGCCTACCTGTGCGGCCCCGGCGGCGTCTCTGCCGGCCCCGCCACCGTCCCCACGCGGCCCCGCCGTCACCCGCCGAGCCGCCCGCCGCCCGAGCCGCCCGAGCTGCCGAGTCGCTCGCGCCGCCCGAGCAGCCCGAACTGCCGAGCCGCCCGAGCCGCCCGAGCCACCCGAGCCGCCCGAGCCGCCGAGTCGCCGAGCCGCAAATGCTGCCGAACCGCCGAGCTGCCCGAGCCGCCGAGTTCACGAGCCACCCGAGCCGCCTGAGCAGCCGAGTTGCCGAGCCGCCCGAGCCGCCGAGCCGCCCGAGCCGCCCGAGCTGCCCTATCCGATAAGAGCAGCACCTCTGTCACTGCACTACCCTAACCCTACTGTTCGAGCTGCTAGTCTACTGCTGTCATGGCTACCCCTAGTGTCCTCACCTTTGACGCCGAGGGTCGGGCCATTGACTTTGACATATGGGTAGATGAGCTGCAGCTTTTCCTACAGTGCGATAGGGCAGACGGTCTCTCTCTCTTTGACCTCACCTCTGGTGCCTCTCCTGCCCCTGCGGCTGACGCTGACGCCACTATTCGCTCACAGTGGGCCACGCGCGATGCTGTTGCACGTCTTGCTGTGCGTCGCCACCTGCCTACCTCTGAGCGTGCGCACTTTAGTCAGTACAAGAGTGCTCAGACCTTGTATGACGCTGTAGTTGCGCGCTACTCCTCCCCTGCCACTGCTGCACTGAGCCGCCTCATGCTACTGTACCTCTTCCCTGACCTTGCTACCTTTCCCACAGTCGCTGACCTCATTACGCACCTCCGCACTAGTGACACTCGCTACCGCGCTGCGCTTCCTGCTGAGTTCTGCGCCAAGAACCCCCCCCCCCCCCATGTATATCACCCTCTACTACATAGTCACCCGGCTCCCTGACTCCCTTCGCGTAGTCAGGGACCACTTCCTCGCAGTGTGCCCCACCACTCTCACTGTTGACCTCCTCGAGAAGGCCCTCCTAGCAGCGGAGAAGAGCATAGTCGCTGTAGGAGCCTCTCGTGGTGACCCCCGCACCCCCATCTTTGAGGGGTGTTCTCCCTCCCCCCTCTTGCCCTCTGTTGCTTCTGCTGCTGCGGCCGACCTCGTTGGTTTTGAGTCGGTCGGCGCTGCGTCTGCCCCTTCGGGGAAGCGCCGCACAGGCAAGGGCAAGGGGGGCAAGGGCGCTGGAGGAGCTGGTGGGGGCGTTGGAGGTGGCGATGGAGCCGGCGGAGGGGGTGGGGGTGGTGGTGGGAGTGGTGGCGGGGGTGGAGGTGTCGGTGGCGGCAGTGGAGGCGGAGGCAGAGGCGGCGGTGGCGGTGGGAGCGGAGGTGGCGGAGGTGGCGGCGGAGGAGGAGGCGGAGGCGGAGGAGGTGGAGCTAGTCGGGGTGGCGCTGTGAAGAGGCGCGGCTCAGGTGGTGGACAGCGCCAGCAGCAGCAGTAGCAGCAGCGCACTCGTGACATCCCTCCCCCTTCAGAAGCTCCGTGAGTGGTACGCTGCACGCCAGCGGGGTGGGGGGGGTGGTCCGTGCACTTACGTCCTACACACCGGCGACCGTGCGGGTGAGCAGTGTGGGGGTGCGCACTCCACCCAGCGCTGCTTTGGCCGCCTGACACACGCTTGGGGTCACCAGTTCCCAGAGGCCACTGAGATCCACGGCTTGGGTGAGCTGTCTAGGGCGGGAGTAGCTATCTTTGTCCTTGACTTTGATGCTATTCTTGCTGCCATGTATGCTGTGACTATTAGTGATGAGGGTGACTATTACCGGTGTTTCCCGCCCGATCCGGGCATTGAGACTGCTGCTCTACGTACAGGTGAGGCTGCTGCTCTAGGGGTAGTGCGTCTACGTCTCAGGTGCTGGTGAGTCTGCTCTCTCAGGTACTGCGTCTGCTCCGGCCTCCCTCACCTTCACCCTTGACTATATGGCTTCTCGCTCCTTCTTTCGAGACCGCACCACACTCACGCCGCTTGGTCGGCCAGTTGCAGCCTCTCTAGCAGACCCCTCTGGGGGTCCTGTCCTTGCTCACTTCTCCACTGTCCTCCCGTGTCCGGCGGCTCCCTCTGGCACCCTGTCGGGTCTTTACCTCCCCTTGTTCTCTATGAACTTGGTGAGTGGTGCTCACCTATAGGATGGGGAAGTGCACCAGTTCACTCCTGCGAGTCAGCGGGTGACACACTGCACTGAGGCTCGGACAGGCCGACACTTGGCCACGTTTACACGTCAGCCGGGGTCGAGCCTGTACACACTGACCACTAAGTCTCCTCCAGTCACTGCATCTGATCGGGTAGCTGCGTCGGGTCAAGTGTTTGCTGCAGCGTCCAGGTCTGGTCCTGAGTCTGCCCCCTGCTCGTGTCGTCTCCTGTCTCACGAGACTCTCCTCTGGCACCACCGCCTTGGTCACCCCTCTCTGCTTCATCTGAGAGGCATGGCCTCCCGTCTCCTTGTTTCTAGTCTTCCCCGGTCCCTCCCTCCCCTTCCTCCAGGGCCCGGCCCTACCTGTGTCCCCTGTGTCGAGGGGCGGCAGCGGGCTGCCCCTCACTCCTCCCAGTTTCCTCCGACAGAGGCCCCGCTGCAGACGCTTCACATGGACGTGTGGGGCCCAGCCCGCGTCCGTGGACAGGGTCACGAGCGCTACTTCCTGCTGGTGGTTGAGGACTACTCGCGTTACACCGCACTCTTCCCCTTGCGCAGCTAGGGTGATGTCACTGAGGTGTTGATCGACTGGATCCGCGCAGCTCGTCTCCAGCTCAGGCAGAGCTTCGCCTCGGACTTTCCTGTTCTGCGTCCGCACTCTGACAGAGGCGGAGAGTTCTCCTCTGGCCTTCTGCGAGCCTAGTGTCCTGCACGAGGCATCCGTCACATCTTCACGCTTCCGGACTCTCTGCAGCAAAATGGGATTGCTGAGCGCAGCATTGGCATGGTCATAGACGTCGCTCGTACGTCCATGATGCATGCGGTTGCCCCCCATTTTCTGTGGCCGTTTGCGGTTCGGTACGCGGCGCATCAGATCAACCTTTACCCCAGGGTCTCCAGGCCGGAGACCTCCCCAGCTTTGCTGTGGACGGGGAAGGTTGGCGATGCGTCTGCGTTTCGGGTCTGGGGATCTCGGGCGTTTGTCCGCGACTTGTCTGCGGACAAGCTGTCCCCTCGTGCTGCTCCTTGCGTCTTCCTTGGCTTCCCCCCTGACGCGCCCAGGTGGCAGTTCTACCACCCCACCTCTCGCCGTGTTCTGTCCTCCCAGGACGTCACGTTTTACGAGTCAGTCCCCTACTACCGCCTCTTCCCCTACCGCACTCCGTCCCTCCCCTGCCACCGCTCTTCCTTGTGTCAGGTCCCCCCCCGGTAGACCCCCTCCCCCCTCAGGGTCGTGCCCCTTTAGGTGTGTCCCAAGTAGACGCAGTCGAGCCAGTCGAGGTTACTGGTGACTCTGGTGCTGCTGAGGGTGCTGAGCCTGGGGGTGCTACGACTGGGGGTGCTGAGCCTGGGGGTACTGAGACTGGGGGTGCTGAGCCTGGGGGTACTGAGCCTGAGGGTACTACGCCTGGGGGTGCTGGGCCAAAGGGTGCTACTACTGGGGGTGCTGGGCCTGGGGGTGCTGAGCCTGGGGGTCCTACAGTTGGGGGTGCTGAGCCTGGGGGTGCTGAGCTTGGGGGTGCTGAGCCTGGGGGTGCTACGCCTGGAGGTGTGGAGCCTGAGGGAGCTGGACCTGTTTGTGTGGCGTCTGGTGGTGCTGGACCTGGAGGTTCTCCGGGTGCTTCGTCTCGGCGGGAGCCACTCTCTCCACCGGAGCTACGCGAGTGGTTTGCCCGGCGCTGGAGGCGTGCTGCTGGAGCTGGAGGTTCTTCGGCTGCTGAGGGTGCTGGTCCCGTCATAGTTACAGTTACAGCCGGCCTCCCCCTTACCTGCTCCTTCTCCCTACACTGGTCCTACTGGAGGTCTTGCTGCGCGTCGTGAGCCTACGTCTCGCCCTGCGTCGCCTGTCCGTCCTGCTCGCACTAGTGGTCGTGGTTCGCGTCCGCGTCCTCCTCCTGTCCCTGGCACGCACCTGATGTCTCTGCGTCCGTCCACTGCTCCTCTGCGTGCCCCTTTGACTTCTCCTCCAGAGTCCTCTCTTCCTGCTCTTCCTGCTCTTCCCGACCCGGAGTCGGACTCTCTTCGTGCTGCCAGTCCTACTGTCACGCGTCTCCTTGCTACTGTCGTCACTGACCCTTCCTTTGAGTCCACTGCTGCGTCTGCCCTAGTTGCTGAGCTCCTCGACTTTGCTGCTCGCTGTCGCCTAGACTACGCTGCTAGTCTTGTCGCTGAGTCTGAGTCTGTCTGTCCTCCGTCCGTCGGGGGTGAGTGTGCCCTTGGCACGGACGTCCTTGAGGACAGGCAGGAGAAGTTCAAGTATCTGGCTGCTGCTTCACCTCATCTCGTGTCCGTACTACTTACCCCTGAGGGAGACCCGGATGCACTTGACATCCCGACTCCGCGCTCTTACGCTGAGGCGATAGAGGGTCCCTACTCCTCTTAGTGGCAGGCAGCTATGGATACAGAGATGGCTTCCTAGAAGTCCACAGGCACCTATATTGACGAGGTTCCCCCTCCTGGGGCGAACATCGTCAGTGGCATGTGGATTTTCAGGGTGAAGCGGCCGTCGGGTTCTCCGCCTGTCTTCAAGGCGCGTTACGTGGCTCGTGGCTTCAGTCAGCAGCAGGGAGTTGACTACTTTCAGACCTTCTCTCCCACCCCGAAGATGACCACTCTTCGGGTACTGCTGCACGTAGCTGCTCACCATGACTACGAGCTGCACTATCTTGACTTCAGCACTGCTTTCTTGCAGGGCAGCCTGCACGATGAGATCTGGCTGCGCCGCCCACCTGGCTTCAATGGGTCTTTTCCTCCTGGCACCAAGTGGAGCCTCCGGCAGCCAGTCTACGGCCTCCGCCAGGCACCGCGCGAGTGGCACGACACATTGAGGACTACACTTGCGGCTCTTGGGTTTGCCACTTCTACTGCCGACCCGTCGCTGTTTCTGCGCACCGACACCTCTTTGCTGCCGTTCTACATCCTCGTGTACGTCGACAACTTGGTCTTTGCCACAGCTGACACTGCTGGACTAGCCTACGTGAAGTCCGAGCTGCAGGAGAGACACACGTGCACAGACCTGGGTGAAATGCGTAGCTACCTTGGCTTGCAGATCACCCGGGACAGAGCTCGCCGCACCATTACCCTGACTCAGTCACACATGGTGCAGCAGGTCCTTCAGCGCTTAGGCTTCACGTACTCCTCGCCTCAGGCCACTCCTCTGCCTACTCGCCACTCGCTCTCAACTCTGCCTTCGGATGAGTCCGTAGAGTCGAGTGGCACGTATCCAGAGCTTTTTGGCTGCCTCATGTACCTGATGACCTGCACACGACCTGACCTTGCATACCCTCTTAGCATTCTCGCACGCTATGTTGCTCCTGGGAGACACAGACCGGAGCACATGGCTGCAGCGAAGAGGGTGTTGCGCTACTTGTGCAGTACGTCGGGCATGGGGCTAGTGCTTGGAGGGCGGAGTCCGGTGGTCCTCACTGGGCACGCAGACGCTTCTTGGGCTGACGACCAGGCTACGCAGCGGTCGTCACAGGGTTACACCTTCAGCCTTGGTTTTGGCTCTGTTTTGTGGAGTGCTACTTGCTCGTCTTCTGTTCTCGGCTCCAGTTGTGAGGCTGAGATCTACGCAGGGGCCATGGCTGCACAAGAGCTTCGCTGGCTCACCTACCTGCTGACTGACCTCAGAGAGCCGCCTCGTTCTCCTCCAGTTCTGTACGTAGACAACAAGGCCATGCTGGCCTTGTGTCGAGAGCAGAGACTGGAGCACAGAACAAAGCACATTGCTCTCCGCTACTTCCTTGCTCGTGAGCTACAGCAGCGTGGTCAGTTGCGGCTTGCGTACGTGGCCTCTGAGGCCAACAGTGCTGATGTCTTCACCAAGGCACTTGCGCCTTGTGATCATCAGCGCTTCTGCACTCAGCTCGGTCTTGTGCCCGTCTTGCCTCACTTGCTCACCTCTTGACCTTACTTGTACTGTTACATATATATATATATATATACCTGCTCTTGCTTGTCTAGCCTTATATATATATGTACTCCTGCATCTGAACTGGCCTTGTGGCCTTGAACTTGTGCTCGGAATGTGTGGTGACTTTGTGATCCACCCTGAGCTTGATTTGCTTAATTGGTCTTGTGACCCCTTGTTCTCCCCCACTTTGCCTATGGGGGTGTGTCAGATTTATATGAGATAGCTACTGTAGGCTATAGTGTGGTAGCACATATGGGGTACAGCTTTCGAGGGTTCATACTTGCACCCAACTTTCACTTAGTCATTCCATTCTTGTTTCAGTTTTCTCACAAATACCGTAAGAAGAACAATCCAAAGATGGGCATAAAAGTGCACCACCAGGCCCCTAGATTCGTTTTGAGGTAGTCTGACGCCTCAGAGTACACCCCTCTTCCTAGTCTGGCCGTCAGAGTTACCTTTTTTTCTATTCTGAAAATTCAGACAAGCACAATTTTTTTGTCTGAACTGTGAGAGTTACTTCAAATTTTAAGATGTTCATGCAGTTTCATAACAGCATAGTTATAATAGCATTGAAGCTGATTACAGCATACCAACGCAGATGTGCGGCCAGAAATGGGGCACTCTGATTGGCCATTTTTCAAGAGTTAGGAACACTGAGTAGTCAGGGTCGAGGTGTGGGTAACATTGCGTGATCAACTCAAAACCCTCAGACAATGGCCTCGTGCAAGTGCCAAGTGTGGCAAAGCTCACAATCAGCTGACCTGGCAGCAGGCACGGTATCGCTCGGCACTTTTCTGTGCTGGGCGCGCTGGCAGCAGCAAGAGTTTTCAACCGTGTACACCGTATGTGCGTGGAATATTTTCTGCAAGTTGCAACTTCTAAATTTATACTCGGTTTGGCAAGGGGAAATGATGTGCGGTTCTGCTGAAGTACGAGACTCATATGTGACAAGGCTTTCGTTTGCACCAATTCGCTTTTCGCCATGTGCGAGTCGCTAAAATCGTTTTGGCCATGTGCGATTGGCTATCTAGTTTCATAATTTAAGGGTTATTATAAGCCCCCAATGAATTCGACACTCGTGATAGCGTCGACAAAGTAGTGTATTCTGGTGCCCCAACTCGAGCAATTTTATCCGGAGGAAATCGTTAGTGCTGGCCCGTACACACGTGGGTGTATCGAAAAGAAGTTTCGAGGAAGTTTCGTTTCAATAACCTTTCATTCAGGCTGGCGGAAACCCCTGTATAACCGGTTTCAGAGTGGACCCCCGAAACAAGTCTGAGGCTCAGCCTACACTACCGTCATACCCCGGATATAAGCGCCACCCGCGGATAAGCGCCTGGCGCTTTTAATTGGCGTGTGGCGCTTATATCCGGTGCTTGATTATAAGGGCACCCACTGAAGGCTTACGTATTATAAGAGCCACCATTTGTATTAGTTTTTATAAAGTTACTGGAATCTTGTAGCGAAACACACTATTTGCATCCTCACTTGGTGAAATTTCGACCCTTCACCCTCGCGGGACTCACTGCCCCACCCTCGCGCGACTCAACTGACTGCGCGTCCAGTCAGAATGAGCTGTCATGGGGCGAAATGACTCATTCTGACTGTGTGTGTTGGCAGTTGGCAAACTTACGCGAGATTCTTCTTCACACCCACTATGATCTTGACTTGTTTGAAATCGCAATGACAAGATGAACATTTTGAAGTGAAAACAACTAGATTTCATATATGTCACTGTATAAGCCCCGGCGCTTATAAATTTACTCGATTATAAGCCCACCCCCTAAAAAAAAACATGTTTTATTATTGCCCCCCATGGGGGCTTTTCCGGGGTATGACGGTACTATGACTACGCTGAAATTTCAGACAAGTCAGTTAAAAAAACTCTGAAAAATCAGACAGGGTGCATAAAAAAATTCTTGGAGTTCAGACTAGGTAAAAAAAAAAAGTCTGAACGGACTCTGAATCAGACTCCAAAGTCTGATATCTAGGGCCCTGTGCACCAGCAACAAAGATACTTATAACACTAATCTACACAGGTACCATACAATATCAAACACGGTAGGCTCAAACGAGTCCTTGGCAACCACACGTACCGTACTTTCATATCAAATCAGATCTGATACTTCTCAATATTTGGGACCTCTTCGTCCTTCCACTCTCCGTTTGTCAACCTCGCATCCCCCTCGGGCACTCGGCATGAGTTGCTCATGTCTAACAACATGAGAAACCGAGGCAGCATGGCCTCTACCCGTTTGCTTGGTGCTAGTCTCAAGGAGGCTACTAACGTGGTGTTTACTGTAGACGGGCAGCCAGCTCCACTCTCGATAGTATCACCTCCAGTTGCAGTTGTCCCCCTGTTGCAGGTTACGCTTTCACCATGTGATGTGACTATGAAAGGGGTATTCACAGGAGCCTGCCTCCTGTAATGGTTGCACGGTGCAGGGGAGAGCAACCGCTGCAGCCAGCCTATAACACCAACACTGCTGCTGCTGCTGCTGCTGGTGCCGCTGGTACTGTCAGTGGTGCCATCGCTGGGTGGTAAGTGGAACATTGGAAGGCGAAGCAGAGGAGGAAGGGAGAGAGCACCAGGCGCCTGGCGTGATGCTGTCAGGCTGTCGCTGCAGTAGCTCCCTGCAAGCAAGAACGGGAGGATGGGGCGGGGAGGATGGAGGACGGGTATAGGGGAGGATGAGTGGGATGTGGGAGGCGATGCATCACTGAAGGCAGGGAGAGAGCACCAGGAGCCTGGCGTGATGCTGTCAGGCTGTCGCTGCAGTAGCTCCCTGCAAGCAAGAACGGGAGGATGGGCGGGGAGCATGGAGGACGGGTATAGGGGAGGATGAGTGGGATGTGGGAGGCGATGCAACACTGAAGGCAGGGAGAGAGCACCAGGTGACTGGCGTGATGCTGTCGGGCTGCCGCTGCAGTAGCTCCCTGCGAGCATGGGATGGGGATAATGGGAAGAGGGAGTGTGGGGTTACAGGAGGATGGTAAGAGGGATGAGAAGGGAGGGAAACCGAGGCAGCGAAGGCAGGGAGAGAGCACCAGGCGTCAGGGGTGATGCTGTCAGGCTGCCGTTGCAGTAGCTCCCTGCGAGCACAGGAGGGGGGTGCGAAAAGGAAGGGTGGGGAAACGGAAACAGGAAGATGGGTGTAAAGAAGGATGGAAATAGGGAAGGTGGGTGAGGGGGGATGGGGGTATGGAAGGATGGGAAGAGGTGAGATGGGGTGAAGGGAAGATGGGTGAGGGAAGACGAGGGTATGGACGGATGGGAAGAATGGGGTTACGTAAGGCAGAGGAGGGATAAAGAGGGTTGGAAGCTCCCTGTGATGAGTTACCCTAGTGAGACTCAATAGGTACACTTCAACACCAGAGTTCCCTGAACCTACAGTACCTGAACTAGGCAGAGGAGGGATAGGGAGGAGCAATGACGTAGCTCCTTGTGATGGTTATCTTGGAGAGAGAGTCTTGAGGTATGTACTTGTAGGGTCTGAACTAGTAGCCCGTGATTCACTATGATTGACTCGGTGCTTGCTTGACAGGGTTGACTTGGTTTACTGGGTTGACTTGGTTGACTGGGTTGACTAGGTTGACTTAGTTCACCGGGTTGACTCGGTTGACTTTGCTGACTTGGTTGACTAAAATGAGTGGGTTGACTAAAATGAGTGGGTTGATTGACTGAGATGAGTGGGTTGACTGAGATGAGTGGGTTGACTTTTCTTGACTGGATTCCCTTGCTTGACTCGCTCTCGTACCTGTCAATCCTATCCAGAGTCGGTGAGCCGCGAGGAAACTTCTTGGCAAATAGGAAGACACCACTTGTGAAGGCCTCATCGAAAGGGTTGACTCTGAACTTCATTGGTGAAGGCATCTTAAAACGAGTCGTTCTTGAGGGAGTGCTGTGGTGAGGGGATGGGGGAGGGGAGGGGGAAACAGTGGGTGCAGGGGAGGGGAGGAGAGGGGAGGCGAGGGACTATTGAGTTGACTCTGAACTCCACTGGTGAAGGCATCTTAAAACGACCCCACGGGGGGATGGGGGAGTCGGGGGATACAGGGGGTGCAGGGAGGGGAAGAGAGGGAAGGGATCGACTCAGAACTCCAGTGGTGACGGAATCATAAGAGGAATCATTCATCTCGAGAGACAGCTGCAGTGGGGTGAGTGAGAGGGAGGCAAGGGGAGGGGGGAGCGGGTGGGCGGGGGATCATCTTAAGGAGGTAATACCCTGGGAGGAGGGGGAGGGGGAGAGGGGAGAGGGGGGGAAGAAACAGGGGAAAGCAGGAAGTGGGGGAAGCGGGAGTTGACGAGAAGGTGCAGGGAGGAAGGGGGAAAGGGGGAAGCAGCTAGATAGGACTCATCTGCATTGGAAAGAAGGGGAGGCGGAGGAATGGGGAAACGGGGGGAAGCAGGAAGTGGGGGGGGGGAGGGAGCAGGTGAGACACTACCCTTCTGTTGTAACGCACCCTTCTACCAGTTGGCCGTGCCGCACCCCTGCCACTAGCAGCACCGGGCTGCCCTTTGCCATGCCATCACCGGGGACGCACCGGGCTGCCCTTGGCGAAAGTGGCGATGTGCAGACTGGCGTTGACGAGGGAGCGGTGGAAGCGGGGCGATTGGCTCTGTGTGTCACTAACCATCTCTGTGTGTCACTAACCATCTATGTGTGTCACTAACCATCTATGTGTGTCACTAACCATCTCTGTGTGTCACTAACCATCTCTGTGTGTCACTAACCATCACCTCGAGATGCACCGTGAGAATGCCACGCTGCCACTAGCACCGCCACTACCCCTGCCAGGAGGGTGGTGAAGTTACCGGGCTGCCCTTGGCAAAGGTGGCCAAGTGCAAGCTGGTGTTCAGCAGGGACCGGTTAAAACACGCTGTCTGGCACGCAACAGTGCTGAAGTAGTGCTCGTGCGAGTCGATGACATGAGGAGCTCAAGCAGTGCTCCCCACGGTGCTCATCCGAGTCAATGTGGGTGGTGACCTACAGTAGCCCTCTCACCCAGTGCCACCCACACACTAATACGTACTGGGCTGCCCTTGGGCCTTGGCGAAGGTAGCGAAATGGAGACTAGCGTTGAGGAGGTAGTGGTTGAAGCGGGGCGCGGGGCAGGCGACGGTGCTGAAGTAGTGCTCGTCTGAGTCGATGACGTCAGCCATGTACATGAGGATGCGGCGTGGCCAGCTGGCGGGCTCCCATAGGACGTAGTGCAGGAAGGGATGAGAGGCCTTGATCTAGTTGCAGCCTAGAGAGCGGGGAGGGGAGGGGGGGATGGAAGGTGAGGAGGAGGATTTAAGCGCTGGGCTCCCATAGGACTCACTGGATGAGGAACGAGTGGTGGGCTCCTGTGGGAGGGAGAGGGGGGGGAGGGGGTGTGGAGCGGGGGCTCAAGCGGTGGGCTCCCATAGGATGTAGCGCAGGAAGGGGCGCGATGCCTTGATCGTTGCAACCTGGAGGAGAGGGTGGGGAGGGAAAGGGGGGTTGGGGAGGGGGAGGGGAGAAGGGGAGTGAATTGAGGGTTGAAGGTTGAAACGTGCAGCGGAGAAGTCAAGAGGTGGGCTCCCATAGCGCAGGAAGGGGCGAGACGCCTTGATCCAGTTGCAGCCTGGAGAGGTGCGAGTGGAGGGGTGGAAAGGGCGGGCCGCACATCTCGCATGCGCTTGTGCCTTGAAGTCAACTCAAGTCAACTCGAGTCAACACGGGTCAGCCAGCCGCACATCCCGCATGAGCACCGTGCGTTGAAGTCGATTCGAGTCAACTCAGGTCAGCTCAAGTCAACGCAAGTCAACAGAAGTCAGCACTGGTCAACTCACCCATGAAAACATGGAAGCGAGTGGCAGCAGGCCACACGTCCCGCATGAGCTTGTGCCCTCTGTGCTCCTGGAAGAGCGCCCTGTCCAGATTCACTGCACGCTGGCGGTAGCTGGTGGGCAGAGGGAGGAAGGGAGAGTGTGGGTGGTAGTGTGTGTGGAGGAGGGTGGGGAATTGGGAAAGGAAGAGCTCCCTGTCCAGATTCACTGCACGCTGCCGGTAGCTAGCGGGCAGAGGAAGGGGGAAGGCGGGAGGGGCGGGATGCGGTGTTAGGACTTGTGAAGGGGTAAGGGAGAGGGGGAGGGCGTGGGAAGGGGAAGAGAAGCGGGAGGGGAAGGGGGAAGGGGGGAGGGGAGTGGGGGTGGCGACATGGGGTGTTAGAGCTTGTTTCATTCGTGCCCTTCCTTGCTTCTGTCTGGGGCAGTGGGGAAAGGGAACGACAGAAAACGGGGGGAAGGGAAGTTTCCTTGTGCCTACTCGTCCAGATTCATTGCGTGGTGGCGGCATGTGGGGTTCCAGGCAGGTGCACACTGAGACAAGCATGCTTGGGAAACTTCTTAGTCAACTCGAAATTCGCAATATATACTTTGGCCAATGTAGGGAGTATGAAAAGCAATGCGGGCATTCTAAGAGAGACGCAAGAGGGAGGGGAAGGTGAGGTAGGGAGATGCGGAACGGCAATCCGTTGCAGTGTGAATATAGTCACTGTGACAGTAACGATGTGTAGGATGAAGCAGTCACGAAGGATTGTTACAACTGACGCGTACAAACGTGTGACTATAACGGGGACACTAGACTCGTACGAGGCCAGGCGGCGACTCACTCGAATCAGTGCTCGACGCTGTGGTCCATGAACGAGAGGCTGCGATCCACGTGCGACAAGAGAGAGCATGTCTGGAGGGAGAGTGCGAAAGAAGTGGGAAGAGCAGGGTGAGAGTGTGAGGGGAGTGGGGAGAGTGAGAACGAAGAGGGTGAGAGAGAGGGTGAGGGGGTGAGGAGAATGGGGACGAGGCGGGTGAGGAGGAGGATGAGGGGTGGGTAGGGGCTGGGATATGGATCAAAGGAATGGAGAGCGAGTGCAGCGACGTTCTCATAATGCCGGTCGTCGTGAGTGCATAAGAACGTGCTTTGAGCCATTTGTGAGTGCGAAGCATGCGCGGCCAAGTTGCATTGGTCAGAGGCGAAGTTGTGGGGAAGAACAGCGATTGCGAGGGGGGAAAGCGGTCAACCAAAGACCCCTTAAAACCTACCAAAGCGTCGCGTTTCACTCACCATCTTGTGACATTAACGGGTAAGCCGCAGCGCTCAGGTTGATAAACAGTCCCACCGCGCGCTATATGCACATGCGCGAGGCGCAGCGTTGCGGACAGCAGCGTCGACCCCTGGTACGTGACTACTTCGGGTTCCGGAATCACGACAATCTTTGTCTTTAGCGCGAGAGTTTCCTCCGGGTCGTCGATATGGGCGACGTAGTGGTTCAACGGGTGGTGGATGGTGAGTAGGAGCCGCACCACGCGCGCGCTGTCGTTTTTCGCGCAGAGAATGCCGTACGCCAGGGGGGGAGTACCGCCGCCGCCTTTTCCACCAGTTGGACTATACGCGCTGTCTTTTTCCCGCCACCATTCCGTCGCTTCCCCCGCCGCGCCGCTCTCGCCGCCGGCAGCGCCCGCGTCATCTGCCGGCCGTTCCACTACCACCGACACGGACGGCTGTAGCGCCCTACCGCCTGTAGCCCCCCCCCCCGCCGCTGGCGCCGCGTGCCTGAAGCCCCGCGAGCACGAGCGCTTCGACGGCGTCGCGGTCGGGCGGGCAGGCGGGTCAGAGGCGGGGGTTGGCGGAAAAAAGGAGGAGATCGCCGAAGAGAAGCGCGCGGAGCACGATGGCGGGGAGCGTGCAGCGGAAGGCGGAGATGACGAGCGCGGAAGCGGAGTGGGCGGAGGGTTTGGAGGAAGGGGAGAGCTGGTGGAATGTGTCGCGCGGGGAGGTGGCGTTTCCCTCGGGTAACTAGCCCATGGTTAAGACACACGTGTTCCTCGGGGAGCTGTGCGAAAGGTGGCTGGAGACGAATTCCTGCCAGTTGCTGAGACTGACGTGGGTGGGGAAACCAAATCACATGGGAGTGCGAAATGCTATGCGGGGCTAAAAAGTCCCCACTTTTTGTGTAGGAAAGGCTGCGGAGCAAGCTTCGCTCCTGAAACGCACCACTTGTGGTATAGCACCTGTGCACATGACATTGATCGAAGAAGACGATGATGATGAAATATGAAGTTTTTTGAAAGTGTGTGACACTTTCTAAAAATGTATATTTCGAAAGCGACGCTGCTTGTAATGCAGCAATGGCAACGGCGAAGTGTTCTACGCTCTTCGCCAACTATATAGCAAGGAGTGGAGGCCATTTGGCCTCCACCCACGTCTTCGTTTGAAATTTCAAATGTCTTATTTCATTCTCGTCTGACGACTTGGTGCTTCCCGTTTTCCTCAGTTTCTCACTTCTCCCATAAAATAGTAGGCATCAACTCAATTGACATGGCACAACGTGTTTCAGAAATAGGCACCCGTCCGCACAATAGGCGCGCTTGTTGGGGCTAATAAAGCGACAACGCCACTGGCGCACGTGGCGACGAAATCGCCACAAGCGCGCGTGGCGACGAAATCGCCACAGGCGCGCGTGGCGACGAAACCGCCACAGGCGCGCGTGGCGAAGCAATCGCCACAGGTGCTCGTGGCGACGAAATCGCCACAGGCGCGTGTGGCGACGAAAACGCCACAGGCGCGTGTGGCGACGAAAACGCCACAAGCGCGCGTGGCGAAATCGCGAGTGGCGCACGTGGCGTAAAAATCGCCAGCGGCGCAAGTGGCGCCAGTGGCGCTCATGGCGCCGAAATGGTCAAAATCGCCATTGGCGCACGTGGCTACGACATCGCCAGTGGCGTGCAATTACCAGGGGCTCGTCCAGCGGCAGTCGGCACCACCAGGTTGGCGAAATTGTCAAACATTATATATGTTATGCTTGTGTAGGCTACAGTGGGTTAGCCTATAGGGGGTACACAATTCTAGGGTTTCCTACTTGTACTCATTTCACTGCTAGTTCATTCATTCCTGTTCGCTTATTCTCACATGGTATAGAGCGGGTCCATCTAAGGACCGTTTTTCTTGGGCCCACCGAAGCGCGCCCTGTCAGAATATTATCTTATTGTTCTAGCCTGTAGTGGGGTGCTCTATAGCGAGTACAACCCTTCTAGGGTTTGCTATTTGTATCCTCATTCTTGCTAGTTCAATCCTCTTTCTTCTTCTAATTTTGACATGCTATCAGAGCAGGTCGATCCCCTTGGATCGATCCTGTGGGTGGGTTACCACCTCGCTTCCGCTGCTACTTTTTCCTCCCGCCGTGCGCCCCGAGGCGCGCGGCGGTTTTCTGCCCGCCGTGCGCCCCGAGGCGCGCGGCGGTTCATTGCCCGCTGTGCGCCCCGAGGCGCGCGGCGGGCTTCTCCCCTACGTCGCGGCCCCGCCCCGATCGTCGCGGCCCCGCCCCTTGACGCGGCCCCGCTCTACGTCGCGGCCCCGCCCCGGCCCGTCGCCGCCCGTGCGCCTGCCCGGCTCGGCCCCGCTCTACGTCGCGGCCCCGCCCCGGCCCGTCGCCGCCCGTGCGCCTGCCCGGCTCGGCCCCGCCCTTCGTCGCGGCCCCGCCCCGGCTCGTCGCCGCCCGTGCGCCTGCCCGGCTCGGCCCCGCCCTTCGTCGCGGCCCCGCCCCGGCTCGTCGCCGCCCGTGCGCCTGCCCGGCTCGGCCCCGCCCTACCTTCGCGGCCCCGCCCAACGTTGCGGCCCCGCCCTATGTCGCGGCCCCGCCCTACGTCGCGGCCCCGCCCTATGTCGCGGCCCCGCCCCGACCGTCGCGGCCCCGCCCCTCGTCGCGGCCCCGGCCCCGTCCCCCCCCCCCCCCTTTTCTCCCCTCCCCCCCAATTCCCGTCGTCCGTCGAGGCGACCTGAGGGGGCCGCTTGCGCGCTGTGGGGTGGCAGGTATGGGGGTGGCCAGTGTACTTTCCTCCCTTTGCTCCTCCTCCTCCTTTGTCTCCCACTGCTGCAGCTGTCGCTGAGGGGGGTGGTTGTGTGGGAGACTGGGTTTAGGGTTTTAGGGGGGTGCGTGGGAGTAGAGCTAGTGGTGTAGCAGTGGGTGTGTATCAGGGGGGTGGGACTGTGTGCGGGAGGATGAGCGGAGGTTGCCAGTTTGTCGTCAGCAGCACCTGTAGTCCGGGGCGCTGTCCCGGTAGCCCAGTCGTAGCCAGCTGTGCCAGCCGCCCGTGGGTCCGTTGCCCGTCCGCCGCTATTTGAGCCGCGGGGCCTGTTACTCCTGTAGTCCGGGCGCTGTCCGGTAGCCGCTGTGCCAGTCTGCCTCCTGTTGCCCGTGTGTCTGCAGCTTCAGCCGTCGCCTCATGTCTCCTCTCCCCTCACTCTCCCTCCTCCTCCTCACTTGCCCGTTGTGACTACCACTAGCTTTGCTTATAATTGTGAACTCTAAACTATTTCTTCTTGAACTTGTGCTCAGAATGTGTGGTGACATTGTGATCCACCCTGAGCTTGTTTTGCTTTGCCTGCTCTGCTGATTACACCCCACTTTGGCTATGGGGGTGTGTCAGAATATTATCTTATTGTTCTAGCCTGTAGTGGGGTGCTCTATAGCGAGTACAACCCTTCTAGGGTTTGCTATTTGTATCCTCATTCTTGCTAGTTCAATCCTCTTTCTTCTTCTAATTTTGACACGCCCCAAGGCGCGAATTTTTTTTTTAGCGACCCCTCGGGTCGCCTTTTCCCCTGCGGCTCAGCCGCCTCCACTGACGCGGCCCCGCCGCCCTCCCTTACGCGGCTCCGTCGCCGGCTCTCACGCGGCCCCGCCGCCGACTCTGTCGCGGCCCCGCCCCGGCCTTTACGCGGCCCCGCTGCCTGCTCTCACGCGGCCCCGCCCCGGCTCCTACGCGGCCCCGCCCCGGCCTTCACGCGGACCCGCCGACGGCTCTGTCGCAGCCCCGCCCAGGCTCTTACGCGGCCCCGCCGCCGACTTTCACGCGGCCCCGCCGACGGCTCTCACGCGGCCCCTGCCCCGGCTCTTACGCGGCCCTGCCGCCGGCTCTCTTGCGGCCCCGCCCCGGCTCTCACGTGGCCCCGCCGTCGGCCCTCTCCAGACCCCGACGCCGGCTCTCTTAAGGCCCCGTCGCCGGCCTTGACGCGGCCCCTGCCCCGGCTCTCAAGCGGCCCCGCCGCCGGCTCTCTTTTGCGGCCCCGCCGCCGGCTCTGAAGCGGCCCCGCCCCGGCTCTCACGCGGCCCCGCCGCCGGCCCTCACACGGCCCCTACCCGGCTCTCTTGCGGCCCCGCCGCCGGCTCTGAAGCGGCCCCGCCCCGGCTCTCACGCGGCCCCGCCGCCGGCCCTCACGCGTCCCCGCCCCGGCTCTCTCACGCGGCCCCGCCGCCACACCTGCAGCAGTCGGGCAGCAGTGCAGCCGAACCGCCCGGGAGCCGAGCCGCCCTGCGCCCGAGCCGCCCAGCCGCCCTGCCGCCGAGCCGCCCGGGAGCCGAGCCGCCCTGCGCCCGAGCCGCCCAGCCGCCGAGCCGCCCGGGAGCCGAGCCGCTGTGCACCCGAGCCGCCCGGTCGCCGAGCCGCCTTTCTGCAGGGCTGCACGACCTGCCCTGCCTGGTGAGCACAGTCCCACTGTCACTGCGAGCTCTTTCCCTACTGCTTGCACTGCGTCGCTGTCGTCGCCATGGCTACCCCTAGTGTCCTAGCTTTTGACGCTGAGGGTCGCGCCATTGATTTTGAGGTCTGGTTAGACGACCTGCAGCTGTTCTTATAGTGCGACAGGGCTGACGGCCTTTCTCTCTTTGACCTCACCTCTGGCGCCTCTCCTGCTCCTGCTGCTGATGCTGATCCCACTGTCCGCTCTCAATGGGCCACCCGCGATGCTGCTGCACGTCTTGCTGTGCGTCGCCACCTCCCTACCTCTGAGCGTGCGCACTTTAGTCAGTACAAGAGTGCTCAGACCTTGTACGACGCTGTAGTTGCGCGCTACTCCTCCCCTGCCACTGCTGCACTGAGCCGTCTCA